GACGCCAACTCCACGGAGGCATTTGCTGAAGCCAGTCACAGTGAAGGAACTCAGAGTTAACCTCTTGTATCAAAGGGATCTTTCCATTTAGAGGCCAATACATCTCCATTTCCAGCTACCCTTTGTTGATCCAGCCTGGACTTACTGAGGCAAAACCACAGCTTATATATCGTGACCAGATAAAGTTTTCCAAAGTTGAAATTATTTTTCTTTCTTCTCATCTAAACGTACAAACAAACAAAAATAAAAACCAAACCAAAACAATGACAAAACTGAATCTGAAAAATTACTCCATTTAACAAATCAAAAAAAAATCAACAAAGTAGCAGTTCCTTCTTCTGTATACAGAAAGCTGGGGATTTTTTGAGTTTGTTTTTTTTTTTAACAGCCAGTCTGTTGATTGAAATGGTTTCCCAAACTACAGTGCTGAAAAGATTTATAGTTTTCCAACAAGTCTTTATTTTGGAATGTGGTTTTAGTGGGGCCGAAACCATCCAATAATCAATGTAAAATGAGTGTGTGTTTGGGGTGGGGAGGATTGGCCAGGACCTCGAAGAGAGCTAATACTAGACACATGAAAGGCTGCTTGGGTCTCCAGGGATGGAATTTGGGAAAGAGCCTGCACATGTCTGCTCCTGGGCTGTAAAGAAATACATTGTTAAGGACAACAACACAGACAATGCGCTGAGCTCTGCCTGGGATTCAGGGCTGAGTTAGGCTGTGGAGTTACACTGTAGCAGCACTGTCCATTTTGATGGCAATTTCTGGGCCATTTGAAACACATTCTTTGGCCAGCTCATGATGTGTGGTTACAGAATTTATTTTCCCATTTATTATTCTTCCCTCAGTATTTTCTTTATTTCCTGATAGCTTCCCAGGAGGTTAATCTCCCCCCCCTTTTTAAAAAATATTTTTCCAGTTTTGTTCTCTCCACAAATGCAGCGTTTTTTTTTTTTCCTGTTTCTGCTGATCACTCATTTGCTTCCTTTCTCTTTCCTTCCTTAAGAGACAGAGGGAAATAAGAAGAATAGCAGGGGAATTTCCAAATGGCTCCTCTCTGCGTTATTAATTACTCTTACAAGGCAGACAATTCTTAACTAATAACAAAGTTGTAAATTGCTACTAACTATCAGATATTTCTCATTTGTCAGCTCTGGTTGATCTGATTAATATTCCACTCTTTAGAATAATTTCAAGCTGCACTTCCAATCAACTCTACCCGGGATGCAGATGGCAGACTTTCTCACCCTGGGATAGGAGCCTGCCACTTCATGATACTTCCCAGGACCTTGTTACTTATCCTGACGCCCATGGTTTTGACCGCAGAGCGGCCTGCAAAGGGCGCAGGCAAGGATGCAGGGCTGGAGCTGCCTGGTGTATACGAATGTGCTGTCCTCTATGTGCAATTTGGAAAACTTTATTGAGGGATTTAAGGGTATTGAAAGAAACAAAACAAAAATGTTTCTTAGGTCTGGTGAGAATTCTTTAAACTCCACATTGAAGGTTAGAAAGCAGACTGACTCATTCAGAGCTATCCTTAATATGACTGGTAAAGAAAGAGGCCTTGGGGGTGGGGCTGGTAATCAAGGCCTAAGGAACACTGGTAAGACTCCATCTTTTGGAAAGAGGTTATGTTTTCCCCAAATCCTATAGTATCCCGCTGTAGTATCCAGAATGCTTTTTTCTTTTTTCTTTTTTTTTTTCAGCTATCAATAGCTGCTGCCTCAATACCTCTGGAGTTTTAATCTTAATTATATTATTAAGTGAAGTACCGTTCTATCAGGGCATTGAACATGATTTATGACGTCTGCCTATTAAAGGATCGATTGCGAATATCGCTACCATCATCTATCAATATTCTCCAGCCTGGGGTGCTTCTCACACCGGGTTATTTGTGGCAGCAGAATGACAGACTGCAGGAAAAAGACTATTTCTTCTTCTCAGGGCTGGTTTCCCAGGTGCAAGCAGGGAGAGAGAGGTGTAGAGCACCAGCAGCCTTCCCCAGTTCTTATAGTATCTTACACCTACAGAGAATGTAAAGACTTTCCCCCTCACTCCTTAATGCTGAGCCCGGGGAATTCTCTCTCCCTGGGGGCTAGTAGAGGACAAGAAGACTAGAGCCGTTTTTTGTTTTGTTTTTTTGTTTTTTTAAGGAAAGAAGTAACGCCTGCAGGTCGATATCGGGCGGGGTGGGGGTGGGGCGAGCATTTCCTAGCTGCCAGGTAGGAGGAAAAACCAGCAAGAGCAGCCCTATATAGGACGACGGATGGCTGGTGCGGGGGCAGATTTTACTTTTTTCCCGAAACAGATGCCTGGCCCTGCCTATGCCCGCGGACTCGGAGGTGTTCAATTTAGGGAATCAATAAAAGTTCTCTGCTCCTTAGCGCCCCTGTTTCCACCTGCTCCTGCTGCCTCGGCAAAGGTGGAGGCGGGTGTGAAAGACGCAGTGTCTGGGCCTGCTGGAGCCAGGCAGCACAGGTCTTTTGTCTCCAGACAGCACAGCGCCTGGTGTTTTCCACACTCACACTCAGGGGGCATGCCATGGGCTCCCGGGGTTACCCACTAGTCTCAGCCCTCAGCTTTAGGGGGATGGGAGAAACAGAGGGAGAGTAGAATAAAACTCATGTGTCCTTCTGTGGCTGGAGACTAGAGAAGCCCAGCGGGGTGGGGCTTGGGAAGACCTGTGTGTGGCAAGGGGCAGCCTGGATAGTGCCTTGTGTCTTGTCCTAGCCCCTTGTCTCTGGGCGTAGCTTGGGGCCTATACCAGGAGGCGAACACTGGAGGCCCTTCTCTGGAGGGTCAGGCACAGCCTGGTACTCAGTCAAGCACCCCCTGACACTCAAGGTAAGCTCATTTAGCTTGGAGCAGCGGTAGGAGCCCAGGACCTGGCCTTTGGGTGACTGGCAGTTGCCACCTACCCACACATGGATGCCATGGCCCCCAGCAGCCTTTGCTCTCAGGATTCCAGCGTGAAGAAGACACAAGAATACAGCTCTATCTTTCTGACTCCCAGGCCAAAGGCTTGGAGTCACAGGAGCCACAGTAAGGAACTGGGGTTCCAGGTAGATATTCCCTGGGTCTGGATCTTTATTTAGCAGCAGCCAACTACCCGGTGATGGGCAGTGGGCAAGCACAGGAACCTTGACTCCTTAGCCATGGAACCTCACCTATCTGGCTGCCTTGCTTCAAGGCCTATTTCAGCCAGGACCATTTGTTGACAAGTTTAGAACACATTGAGAGAGTTGTCTACTCTCTCTCTCTCTCTCTCTCTCTCTCTCTCTCTCTCTCTCTCTCTCTTGTTTGTTTGTTTTGTTTTGTTTTGTTTGTCCAGACAGGGTTTCTCTGTATTGTTTTGGAGCCCGTCCTGGAACTCGCTTGGTAGACAAGGTTGGCCTCTAACTCACAGAGATCCTCCTGTTTCTACTCTCTCGAAAAAGGTAGCTGTCCTTCAGTCCCAAATTAAGTACATCTACCTTCCTTTGTAAGCCACCCCACTCACATCCATTCACTACAGATCAGACAGCATTCGGGCAGGTCTTCAGGCCTGTAGTTAAACTGTCTTGAGGGATGAGGGAGCCACAGCTTCCCTGGTCCTTCAGTCCTAGATTCACAAACTACAACTGAGATATTCTGGAAGGAAGGTGGAAGTCTTTAGATTCTTTCTTAGGATGTTGGTGCAGACCCGAGTCACCATAGTGGAGGGCACTGGATCCTGGAGCAAGTCTCAGCAGGTCCCCAATGTGCCCTCCTTGGGTCAAGCCCAGGAAATGAAAGTTTGGGGGAAGGACTGGGAGTGGAAATGCTATTCCTGTAGAGTGCCCATGTAACAAGAACCAGAACCTGGGTTCCAGTTTAATCTCCATTATTCAAAGGACCAGTGGCAAGGAATGTGAGGGAGAAGGATTGGGTCATCAAGAAGTGATAGAGCCTGAGTCCTTAGAAACATTAGAATGAAGTGTTTTCTTTCAGATTCCTTAAGTAAGCTTCCAGCGGGCCCTACTGGAGAATGAACTATGGGAAACAGAAAATAAACGCACAATGTCCATGATCCCAGATTTTAATTATAGTTCGACCTCAACAAATACAGCTCTGACTTGCCATTCTTTTTATTGTCATATATATAACTCTATTATTATTTCAATCGACCTTTCAGCCCATGTAGCTCCTGGGGCAGCTTCAGGAGGAGCCACATCCAGGAGAACAGTCACCATCTGCGCTGGGCTCAAACTTAACCCGGTTCACCCGCTCCTCCCCTCTTCCCACTTTCTTACTTTTTGCCCAGTTAATGGATATTCTTTGGTCTAGGTTCCTTTAAAAAAATCACAAATTTTGTTAATACAGACAGCCTTTGCCCTACTGATCTTTAACCATTTTGTGGTGCAAAGAACCCAGGCTTAGAGCTGGCGGTGCACGACCTGCGTTGTAACTTAATCGCGGAAACCTTGCCCTAATTTTCAGGCAATAGATCTGGAGAAAGGCAGTCAGGAAGAAACCAATGGTCCAGGTCCCTGGATGTAGACTTTAGTTGGATCGAAAAATCAGCGGGTTGGAAGAAGGATGGGGATTGTATTTTACCCCTATGCCCACACATGACCGTGGGTTTTCTGTCTAGATCTTTAAGGATTCGGGCCCTAGCTCTCTAGAGCTTGTTCCTGTAGTTCTCTTTGCTCAGTCTCTTTGGGCTACCCTTCCCAGCACTGCGGCACGCTACACACCAGGCTTTTCACAGCCCCCGGGAGGAGGCGCTGGTGGCCGGGATGCCTCTCATCCCTTCAAGCCCGAGTGCTGGAGCCCCCATTCACAAAGCCCCTCTTGCAAAGGGGACACACACACACTCACGCCGCCCCACACGCACTGCTTGGAGGGCAGTTTGATCTTGTCTCATTGGCGTCTCCGGCCTGAAAAGAAAATCGTTTGGGTAAACAGCCAAGCTTCCAGGCTTAACGCCCCGCTCCTGCCTCCGCCCCTCTGTCCCCTCCCGCCTCCCCCGCTCCCCTTCAACCCCACCCGCCACCCACACTCCGCTCCGGCTGCCGGGCCTCCAGCGAGTTCTGCGCATCCGGAAGGGAGCCAAGGGATCCCTGGTTCAAAGGGCCGCAGCCCGAGGGGATGCCCTCCTCGTGTGCCCCGGGGTGCAGAAGCAGACTGAAGGGCGGTGGGACCAGCCTGGGCCACGGTAGGAACCTCGAAACCTCATGCACCCTTATATAGCTGGTCCCAAGGGAGGGCACAGGGGAGTCCCGAGGCTGGTCGGACATTTCGTCAAGATCTAAGCCCTGGCCAGGCCAGCAACCGCTAGCTGCTGCACCTGTGGGCTGTTCTATGGCCTGGATGGGCCATCCTGGTTCCCACCACTTCACCACAAGCGTTTGTTCATTTGTGTGACCTAATAGGGAGGCGAGACTTGAGTTTCTTTGGCTGCCATGCGTTGCATAGACCCCATAGACCCCTGGGTTAACGATGACCAGGCCCCCACAGCCTTCAAAGGGCCTGGGTATTGGAGTAGCCTTGAATCCAGTATTAAGCGATTTCTGATGTTTGATCCTTCCCAAAGGAGAGCTCTTCACGTAACTGTAAACATAATTGTTATTAATATGGCAAAAAAGCGGTGCTTAAAAGGATACTGAATTCTCTCTAGCTCACACGTTTAAGCAGAGAGAACCTTGAGATCAGAAATACTGATGAGATTATTAGACTTGATTCGCCCCCACCCGGTTCTTTAATGAAAAATGTCCCTCTCCTGCGTAGTTCTGCGTCTCCCCCTCCTCCTTCTCCTAGTCGCAGGCTCACTCCAATCCAGGAGTCATTAGCAACACCCTCTGGCTGCATGTTTTGCGTCGGTGAAACATTGTGGCATCGTTGTAACACTAACTCTTGCACCGCATCTTGCGGCAGGAAGGGTAATAGCAAGAAAATAATTTTTCATCCGCAGGCTTTATTCTGTGTGTGTGTTGTGGGGGGGGATCTCAGAAAATAAGAATATGAGATGGGGGTTGATGGTGAAAGAGAAAGAATCGGAGAGAACAGGACAGAGAGAAAAGTTTCCAATTTAGAACCTCCTCCAAATGCTTGAAGTGCATTCTTCTCCGGTGACTTTCTCCTTTCTCTTTTTTTGTCTCTGCTCCTTATTGCCACTCCTCAGTGGATGATGCTAGGGCCCACTCTGGAATTGCCACTTAGCTCCTAGAATCTGTCAGTAGCCTTCTCCACAAGTTAGCATTCTCACCTCAAAGCCAGGGAACTTCTAAGAATCTGGCCACCCCTCTGCAGCTGGCCCCTTGAGGGACCCCGTTGATTCCCGCTAGGAATCTGAGACCTCTCTAGTATGGTCTCTCAGGAACCTGTTTTAACCTAGTGGAAAAGGGACAAGCCGGCCAGAAAACTAAACTGCCTATTTTCCCAGCTGAGCCCTATAATTTCTGAGCGGGAACCCTAAGAGCCTTCTAATCTGCCCTGTGGAGCAGAGAGGCAAGGCACTCACTCTATCTCCTGCCTGGCTGCCCAGGGACCAGGCTACCAACTCTGAGAAGTGCAAAGTTTCATAAAAGGCTCTCTAAGTTTGGTTTGCTCAGGCAGAAAAATAGAGGGGCTTGTATGCCACCACCTTCTTTTTCTCCCTCCACCCAGTGTCCCCAGTGAAATAATTTCATTTCACCCGAGGAATTTATTGAACACTCTACACACACACACACACACACACACACACACACACACACACACACACAGAGAGAGAGAGAGAGAGAGAGAGAGAGAGAGAGAGAGAAACTTAGAAAGGGGTTAAACAAATAAGTAAAAATTATGTTAGATGGAAACTCCATGTCTCTTTCAAAACAAATGGACCACACAGCTCTTCACTGGGCCATAAGCAAGACACTCCACAGTGGAAAATACCTTGTTTCTTATCACACTTGGCTCTGGGATGACTGGGATGAAAAAGAAAATGAAACAAAGACTCACCATAGCACATCCTCCAGTTAATTTTCTGTATATTTTACAATCTAGTCCAGTGGGTATATTTAAAGGTGAATAAACATCTTAACTGACCAACTGGTTGAAAAGAAGGCAAATAACCAGTTGCGCGTTGGAGGAAAATAATGTTGTGTAATTCAGAATTTCTGGCAGTTGCTACTCTCGTTGGTTGAAAGGTGGGCATGCTAAGGACTGCATTTGGCAACTTTTTGTTTTGTAAGGCTGGAAACGGATAGGAACTAGACTCCAATGGGGCAGACACTGGCCTGGCAGAGCCTCTCTGATACCCCACGGGTCAGAATGAATGGATTTCTGTGGAAATCATAATTGCGAGGTTATAACTTCATAGGCACCCGCTTCAAGGGGGACATTTGCATTGACCACAGCTGAATGACTCAAAACACACTGCAGCCCGAGCTGGTGGCCCCCTGCCAACATGTCTCATTTATTTTATCTTTTCTCTGAAAGTAGCTTTACAGCTTAGGTGACTACCCTTGTTTCATGAAATGATGCTTCTGTATTTTCTTCCATTGTGCAGTTACTTTGAGCTATGTGGGTCACAGATGATATCTATCTATCTATCTATCTATCTATCTATCTATCTATCTATCTATCTATCTATCTATCTATCTATCTATTTTTGCCTATGGGGAAGGAGGCCTAGGCTTTTTGGCTTCTTTGGAGATGTTAATAAAGGAAAAACTACGGGTGTAGAAGATCAAGTTAGGCTGCCAGAGAGTGGAAGGCTTGGCTGCGTCATTCCAGTTTCCGAAGCGAGGTGGCGCTCCAGGGCACTGCACTGCGCCCGGGTTTTAGCAGCCGAGCAGCTTCGTAGCGTTCGCTCTGGAAAGCGGCCTTCCCCGAGCGATGATGTAAACGCAGAGTTCCCAAACCTTCCAAGCGGAGTCCAAGGGTGCTCAGACCCTCCTAGGCCTAGTGGCCTACGAGGGTAACAGAAGACCCGAGGTCACAACTAGGGGCGACAAGGTGATGGCAACAGAGTGGGCAAACCCGCCAAGACCGGGTCATGCTCTGCGTTGGGTCTTTCCTGGAATCTGCAAAGTTCTAATTCTTGGTGGGACTCCAGTGGCTCGGAGATACTGCAGAGAGAACTGGGCCGACTCGCTGCAGAGTCATAGTCCCCAACTGCACTCAGCAAGGTTTCCTCCCCATCCGCCCACCTCAAGCTGCTTCTTTGGCCTCAGCCTCCCCCACACCCCCAACCCCGTCAAAAGAAAAAGAAAGGCGAAGGATGAGAAGGGGGAGGAGGAATAAGAAGAACATGGGAATCTGGTGCACCGCATTTTGTTCCCCAAGCTAGGTCTTTTTTTTTTTTCCTTCTGGGTTTCCTTTTCTCTTTATTGTCAGTTTCTTCCCGTCTCTCCCTCTTTTTTTGTACGTTTTCTTCCCTCCTTTCGTTATTCCTTGTACCCTTATTAGTGAGGGGAGAGAGAGAGAGAGAGAGAGAGAGAGAGAGAGAGAGAGAGAGAGAGAGAGAGAGAGAATGAACACCGAATAAATGGTAGATGGTAGCAATCGAATTTCAATCCAGGCAGTTTCGTTTCCACATCGCTTTTGCATTTCCCGGGGCTCCAGCTCAGAAGCTGCAAGTTAAAGAGGAGGGACGGAAAACGTCCTGCGCTCACTTAGACCACTTTGAAAACTATGATAGAGATAATAATGGCGGTAATCTAGCTGAGCAGCACTTCTGTATTATGGGAGTGTCACCGTGGTTTTGCAACCCTGCTTGGAGGACCGACAAGCATGCAGAATTTGTCCTCTTGGTCTGAGACCCTCTTGTCAGCTACTGGTTCTGCTGGGTCCCCTGACTCATGAAGTGCCCCTTCTTCCGTGCCCTTCCTTGTAGCCATTAGGCCGCCAGGAAACTTACAAGGGTTGAAGCTTGGGTCCTAGCTGTGCTACTTCCAGCCCCCCCCCAACTCATTCACTTTTCTGTAAGTTCTGAAGTAGAAATGGTGGGATTTGTTTTTTAAAACCCAGTTTAGGAGTCTAAAGAAACTCAGAGGGTCAGGTCATTAGGAATGTTAACGGCCTACCGAGAATTATAAACATGATCTGAAAGTCTCTTCCAATTCATTTCTTCAAGTATTTATTTGTGCTAAGTGATGAAAGGTGACAGTTGTGAAACAGACAGCTTTTAAAAGTAATGAAGTCAGATGAGCCTTTAACCTGTCGATTGCTATAAATCAACTTGGAAAAAGACAAATAGGGACTGTTATTTGGGCCCCTAACCTCCAGCATTTGCTGTGCTGCATTGGCCTGTCAGCGACTGGACTCAGCGAGAGTGGCAATGGGGTGTGCGTGGGGAGTCAAGTGCCACAAAGACCCAAAGGGGGGACATGTTGGTGAGCCTGTGTGGCCACTTGTACTTGAATACCAGTGGCGGGTTTAGGCTACTTTAATGTGTCCAGGCCAGCCTGATGACAGGCCCTAGGACAGTGGGGAATTCAGAGAGGCCATCACTCAAGGGACTGAATGTCACATTAGAGAGGAGAGCTCCCATCCAGCCCCACTGTCTGTCAGGGTTTGGAAGACTTCCTTGGGAAATGGTGGTTGTGGGTCCTCCCTCCCTGTGTGTGTGTGTGTGTGTGTGTGTGTGTATGTGTGTGTAACTGTAACTAAATTTTCTCTATTACACTGGCTGGTCTTTACAAGAAAAAGCGGGCACTGAGGGCCTACAGGTGTCTGCAGGTTCGAGGGAAGCAGTGATGTTCCCCAATGATGACTTCTAAAAAGGCAAAACGCTGTGGTGTTTTAATACCAGTTCCCCACAACTTTCATCTCAGTCATAGCGAGGCCTGGGGTGATGCGTTGAGAGAGAAATAAGCTGAAGGGATGGGGACTGTCTTCTTGCCATGAACTCCTGCTCTGTCCACGCTTCCCACCTATGCTGCCCCCCGTTTTTTAGTTCAGCCCTGAGTCAGAGAGGGTGCCCCAGCTTCTGACTTCTGGGCTTGTCTTTTCCCCTCCAAATGCTGCGGGGGGTACAGATGTTCTCGCGGTCTTGTCTCTCCCATAGTCTTGGAGAAACACTGGCAACCAGTGCCATCCTGAAGTGCAGAATGGCTTCCTGAGCGCTAGCAACAGGTCCATGCTGAGATTCCTCTCTGTCCTTCACCGCCGCCGCTTTCCTCCCCTCCCTCGTTGCTGGGGTCCGCGGCTGACAGGGAGAACTGCGCGCCGGGC